ACCATCTGTGTTCATGCCAGCAAGCCCGTGTCAAGAGGCTGTTTTTGTTTGCTTCCACCTTCCACGCGCCGCAGTGGGGTCACGCGGGAGAGCATGCTGCTGAGAGCGAGCCGGGAGTGAGGGCCCGCTGAGCGCCGTGCTGATGCCAAAGCCCCGGAAAATAATTAAGTACAAAACCACTAATCGTGATTGACACTGGCCCCCTGGAGACGCATCAGCCGTCTTCCGAAATCGTTTCCCGTCTTTCCGATGACCCTGATGATGGCGAAGAAGGGATGGAATGGGTGCGGAGTCAGCCGCAGCCCCTGGCCCCTTTCTTGCATGCCGAACGCGTCCGTGCTCAGTGGAGCTGCCAGCACCCTGCTCCATGCAGAGCCACAGCAGAAAGCAGAGACCCTGGACCATGTCCCACAGCCTTTGTGGCCGTTGGTTTCGCTCGGAGCCACAGCCACCCAGCACCTCGCAGGATGAGCTCAGGAGCAAGGACAGTAGGCAACAGCCTGTAGAGAAGTGCTCCAAGGTCAGGAGGCTCAAGAAAACAAATCCAAGCTTTTCTTACACATCCAAGGCGCTCGGTACCTCCTGGCACCAGACACAATGACAGGTGAGGAGAAACAGCAGCGCCTTCCACTGGGAACTCCTGAAGTCTTTAATTCAAAGAAAGTGTAAAGCATCTGCTGGCAGGGAGTTTCATGAGCTGTGACTGTAAGGTGCTGCATCCATGCAGAGCATTACCAAGTATGATGCCTGCTCTGAAATTGCACGCTCAATGCTGTGATTTCAGTATTTTGTGAGGTGGGGGGAAGAGCAGGCTTCATCTGCTGTCACACCCAAGACTGCCACAAATAAAGAGTCCTCAACTGCCTCAGAGAGAGGAAAAGGGGCTCAGCACCTCCCCAGTTTCCCTGAGGCAGCAGGGTGTCAGGGCCCCGCATCTGGATTTGCGCAGCTCAGGCCTGGCCAGAGGAGCTGAGTGCCACAGCAGGAAGCACCACACTCTCCCACCCTTCCAGGAGCATCCCAGCACTGCCTGAGCCTCCATCAAGGCAGGACTGCTGGAACCACTGGCAGAACTGAGGTGGGTCAAGAAATACCCCAAATCTGTGCAGTCGGGGTTGAGGGGGAACTGCACTGAAAAGCAGACAGGGACATTGCTGTGTCCAGCTGTCAGAGAAAGCTTCAAAGCTGTCACAGACCCCTTGGGATCTGCTGGGCCATCATGCCTGTGGCTAAGCTGAGCTTGCACCTTGAGCAGCTCCCTAGGGAAGAAGGGGGCAAAAACATGGAAAAAGAGATTGGGCATTTCTTTTCCTCCAACTCAGAGGTGATTGTACAGATCCCAGCACAGAAAATACTTGGGAAAGGAGGACCAGCCTCAATCCATAAGTTTTCATCTTTGAGACGTCATCTTCAAGGCATCTCCTTCAAGGCATCTCCAGTGAGTGGCTAGGCTGAGGGGAGTTCCATTGGCTGCCCCCTATAGTGGGACCTCTTCTTGCACCAGAGCTCAGAAAACCCATGAAGGACTTTGGTGGTGAGATGCAGAGCCCGATGAGAT